GGGCACAAAGGACATTTCTGTTAGCAAAGGGGTTCGTGCAAGTTGATATAGTCCAAATTGCTTGCCTTAAGGCAGGGGTGGGCAAACTACGGCCCGGGGGCCACATCTGGCCCTTCAGACATTTTAATACAGCCCTTGAGCTCCAGCTGGGGACCAGGGTCAGGGGCTTGCCCCGCTCCACGCATGCCAGGGCTCTGTTCGGCTCCCGGAAGCAGCAGCATGTCCCCGTTCCACCTCCTATGCATGGGGCAGCCAGGGGGCTCCGCACACTGCTCCCACAGTTCCCATTAGCTGGCAACCACAGCCAATGAGAGCTGCTGGGGCAGTGCCTGTGAACGGGGCTGCACCTCTGCATAGGAGCTGGAGGGAGAACATGCCACTGCTTCTGGGAGCTGCTTGAGGTAAGCTCCGCTCGGAGCCTGCACGCCTGCCCCAGCCCTGATCCCCCTCCGAACCCCTCGGTCCCAGCCCAGAGAACCCTCCTGCACCCCAACCCTTCATCACCAGCCCTACCCCAAAGCCTGCACCCCCAGTCAAAGCCCTCACCCCCTCCTGCACCCCAACCCCCAATTTAGTGAGCATTCATGGCCTGCCATACAATTTCCATATCCAGATGTGGCTCTCAGGCCAAAAAGTTTGTCCACCCCTGCCTTAAATGCATACAATGCAAATTCTTCCCTAGAAATGAATAGATTTGAACTACTTGATGAAGTGAAATGTAATTGGAATGAGCAATGTGGTGATGAATAGAGATCATATTTAGTGTTATTTTCTTCTTCTATCAAAACTACAGAAGAAATTGTATTGAAGATATAAGCATATGGTCAAGAATTCAGCACATTTAAAAATATCCATAAGACAATCCATCACACTACTCCACAGGAGATAAAACTTGAGCAATTTTCCATTTTGAGACAAAAGGAAACTATACAGATAAGAGAGAAGAAGAACTATAAGAGACTGTTGGTTACTTTTGGTCTTCTAGCATTTTATCTATCTTGGAAAAAAGAGGAGGTTTAGAGGGATTGCTGATGAGATAGAGAGTTTTTCATGTCTAAATCACTGTTTCAGCCATGGATCAAGTCTGATATATCCAAAAGATGGTCCTGCTGGCTGCTGTTTGGTGGTGTCTGTGAAATGAGTTGGCAGAATCTGGTTGCTAAGAGATGGGTGGCCAGATAAATAAAGAACTCAGCTGCATAATTAATGTTAACTGTCAAACTTACAGGCATTCTCAGCAGAGGGGGGGACTAGCTAAAGACTGAACAGTCCTGAAGAGGCCCTAGAAGAGGTCCCCCATAGTCAGGTCTGAGGTTTATCGCAGAGCAGCATGAGGAAGCTCCCCTTTCAGTTTTGCTCAGAGTCTGACAGAATCTCATCCTGAAAACACACATTTTAAATGATAACATAAAGAATAAAAGAACAAGCACTGGGAGTCACTGCAGCGCACAAGTTGTGTCACTTCAGAAGATTGACAATGGCCTAACTGTGTTGTCAGATGTGTAACCAAAACATCCCCGCTCTAGCTCCCCCTCATGGTGCAGGGGGGTTCTGAAGACATGCTTGGAATGCCCTACCCTCCTCCAATCCCTGGACGCATAATGGGCCCTAACGGGCTGTTACCAGATTACAATATTCAGAGCAGCTTTGAGCTGCTCTAAGTAGCACCTGAGGCTGAACTGCTCCCAGGACTGAAGGGGCAGAAGATTAGTGTAATGGCAGCCTTCCTGGCTCCTGTGTGACACAGACTTAAGGAGCTGGCCTAGAAAGAAGAGTAATCTCATCATTGCTGAAGGCATTGAGTTGAGCTGGTATGCACTGGAGTTTTGTACCTACACTCTTCTGGTGACACAACATTTTCTCTAGAATTCTAAATACATTCAGAAACAGAATTAGGCCTCCATCCCTTCTTGTTGTGACATTATTCTGAACACGAACGGCAGTGCCACATCTCTAAGGCCAAAATGCTGTCCCTTGCAAAAGACACAGAAGGCTCTAAATGGGCCCAACCCAGTATGGTTACACTGTGCAAGTGGAGACTTTGAAGGGGGACCTTTCTTGCAGGGCTTTCTGGTGGTGTCGCTGGGAGCTGTGAAGGGGAGTGATGAGGAGATTCAGTGCCAAGTGAATTCATGGGGTTAAAACAACTGGCCTAGGACTGGGAGCCTGTGAAGAGCTGCTTGCTCCAAGCCAGCCACTTGGTTGTGGAAGATTATTCCCCAGCCCTTCGTAGAGCCTCCATGAAAAGCTCTTTATTCACACTCCATGTGGGGTAAATGAACATTTGGTCTTAGGAGTTGTGGACTGCCCCCCTTTGAATGTTGACTCTGAAGCCCAGTAGCAACACTTTAAAATCTTAGCATTGTTAACTGTGTCTGTACACATCATTGTGATAGGCACATCTACCTGGTCTGATTTATGGCTAGAGTTTGCCATTATAAGTGGTGCTTGGTTCCACACTCTTCCCATCCCCTCCTAAGAAGGGCATCTCATTAATTTGTACAGCACCCAGCACAATGGGGTTCTGAGCTTGACTGGGCTTCTAGGCACTACTGTGTCATAGATAAGAAACTGGTCATTCTATTATACTGTGCTTTTAGAAATATAAGAACCATTCAGTTTTGTGATATAGAACAGAAAACAGATGCCGCTCCTAAGAATTGAAGTATACCATAAATGCCAGAAAACAGGGCTAAAAATAAATATATGCTCTATAAACATATGGCATAAAGCTAGAGCAGCACAGGTAGGAACACTATAGAGCTACTGGAAAAATACAGACTGATATACTCTACCTTGGCTATGCATTTAGATCTGACAGAGTTAGAACAAAAAGCAAAATAAAAATCAAGTTGGGCTGAATTATACTGAAGATGAAAGGCACAAGGGACAATACACAACCAAATACTCCGATGCAAGCCTGTTACAGTCAACGGGATTGTACCAGAATAACTGAGAGGATAATTTTACCCATGGTGAACTTCTCTTTTGCCTGAGGAGGACTTCAGTCAGTGTACAGTATAATGCTCAAAACTATGATCCTCCAGCAAGCAAATGAGGTACTGAAAAAGCTCTGCCACCTAGATGATGGGAATTGCATAAGGAAATCAGAAAGTAAACAAATAAATGACAAGCAAACAACATCCTTTAAATGGATAAGTAGGCCAGGCTGCTACTCGGACAGAACATAATACAGCAAAGTTAATTTCCTCACTAATTCTGGCTGCAAATTGTGGAGAGTTCATAGCCCAGCGTTTTGGGAGTAATGTTCACAAAAATGTTTACCTCAGAATGCCAGTGAAATAAAAACAGGGTACAGCTGGATTGCTCAGGATGGATATACAGAGTAAATCTTAGCGATCCTGAAGATGATATAGTAATGATAAAGGTGCATGACTGAATTTCTGAATGGTAGAGATATGTCAGCACTCCTCAGATTACTTCTTCGCTACTCAGAGATTCAGCTTTTAATACTATTTTGTTAACAACAAACAATGAACAGATATTAAAGGGACAAGAACTGTATAACAGCAGTGTATGGCTGAATAGAGTTTGTTTTCTCAGAGTACATAACTTATATGAAGCATTTTTACTAATTTCGAAGTGATTGTTCACAAATGCTACATATACAGGCTTTATTTTTGACAACAGGACAGCATACATACCTATTGTTCCAAAGAAGAGACACCTTACCTCCCAAAAAAATTACATGTGGTATTTATTTGATTATAACTTTTGTTTCATCGCAACTTGCTTGGAAACATGGCAAATAAAGAAATCTTTTAGCTACACTCAGAAAATGAATGCTGTAAAATAAGCTCTTGGGTTATAGATGGAAAATGTTTAAAACTGCTATTCTGACATGTTTATTAAAATAACAGGCCTCATTTCAAAATTTTTTGTCAGCAGTGTTCTCTACTTAAAGACTTTAGTTTATAAATAGGAGATCAATATGGTAAGTTGTTACAGCAGTATGGTTAATGCTAATTAACCTGTTTAACTTTTTCAAATTAAGCCTTTTACCATTATTCTTTTTAGCTAGTAAGTATTTTGAGTATAGCACTCAGATCATGGAAAAGTAGTGCTCATACAATTAACTGTAATGTAAAACTGTATTTATGGAAGCATGTTTATTCATATCTATTTGTTTTAGAAACCATTTATCTTGGTGCAAGAACCCCTGGAGGTGAAAGCGTTAAGAACCTAACCATTGCAGAGTTAGAGAAGATGGATAATAATTCTGCCAGGCCACCTTTTCAATATCTGATTTTCTGGATGCTTTATTTGCCCTTCACACATTCTTTGTAGCAAAATTTCAGAGACTCCTAACAACGAAAGTAGTTATGTATATTGGAATATGATTCCAATATATCTTTGTTAAAGTTAAAGCAAAGTTAGGGTCCAATTCAAGAAAGCATCACCCACCATTCAGCAAAGCACTTAAGCATATCGTTATAGTGCTTTTCAGAATCAATGTTGAAAACCACCCTATAATTAGTCTGAAGTTCTCTCTCCAGATTTATATTTATAGGTAAACTTTGTTTTAATCAAGGTTTCAAGAGACATCCAAAACTTTCGTCAGTTGATCAACAAATTGTAGGTTATATATGAGTTTTGGAAATAGGAATGGAAATGATTTTCAAATAGCCCACATGTTGGTTAATCAGGGGTCAGAAAATTTGGGTTTATCTGTATTTTATTTGTTCTGTATGGTACCATTGATAATCACATGTCCAAGACAAATGCCATGATGGGAAAATGAGCATGCATAGATATTATTTCCATTTGTTTTACAGTTTATAATGGCTGATGTAGGATCAAATAACAGACCAAAATAGACTTTGTTTAATCATTGTAAAAATAGTGTAATAAAAAATCTTGCTCCTAAAAGCTTTAATGGATTTTTTCAACAATGCGTAGCCAGCAGATTTGGTTATACAAAAAGCAGAGCACCAACTAAAACTATCAACTTTACACAAAGCCAGATATATGAAAGGGGATCTTTTAAAAAAAAGCTTTATTTGAGAAAGAAATAGACTTATATCAGAAGGCAAGAAAGGGAACATACAAACAGAATATATTTACAACACAAAACAAGAGATCACCTCCAAAGGTGTAGATTATAATAAATACAGTAGATTTAAAATGTAAGAGACATTATCAATTAGAAATATTGTTATTCAACCCAGTTTTCCTTTTCACTGGTTCCAGGTAGTTTCTTGATTCAATTCAGAGGCTATCAAATTTGAATAGAATTAAAGTCCACTGGCTTTACTGGGGTAACTTTCCTGAATGACACTATAAAAATATCTTTTGTTGTTTGTTACGCTTCTTTGAAATGATATTGTACAAAAGTCTTCTCATTTGCAAGTTCCTCTGTAAATAAAATGTATTTTAAAAGATTGATTATCCCTTTTTGGTGAGGCTAAAATTAGGCATGGTAGGAAATGAAATATAAACAGAATGGGAAAATACATGTTTTCCTCTTTATATGCTTCATTATGTTGAATGTGCATGTTATTTTCCCTCTTTGTATTTAAGCGCGGAGGACGGGGGGGTATATTTAAGCAAAAACCATATATTGTCAATTAACAAGTCTTTCCTATCAAAGCTGATATTAATGTTTCAGGAGGCCTTTCTTTTACAGCAACTATTTAAGTAATTTAATTTGTTTGGAGACTTTTTATGGAAAAGGATAATGTATCTTTAGAAGTCGCAACATTTTATAAGGGACTTTATAATATTAGAGCAAAATGTAAACAACACATACTAATAACATATATTAGAACAACTTCTACATTTGGCAAAACAGCTATCTCTTTTGAAACAGGATACTGCACCTTAAAATACCTTAGCTTTAGAAATATAAATATTTTGAATAGAAAAAAAACTGACAGGGACTCCAGGTCAGTTTTGGATTATCCATACTAAAGAGATCTTAATACAATGAATCTTTAACTAGCTTAACAAAAGTAAACCTATAAAACAAGGTAAACATATCAAAAGGGAATATGAAGGAAATGTTTCACTGGAAAGCTTCCTTAACAATTTCCCTACTTGCTTTGTTATTTTCTTTGACAATAAATCAATTCATAGAGTGCCCTTTAAAAACAGAGTAAAACACTATCCATCCCCCCATTCCTTCCCCCACCCCCTTACATTCCTCAGTACATGAATCACTTGGACTTCCTGTTTCCATAAGGCATTTCCTGTTCACCCCCACAGAATCACTTTTCTGTAGGAGAACAGCAGGGACCTGACAAAGTACTGACTTAAATAAACAGTGCCTTCTATTTGCATTCAGAGTTGTTCTGATTTTATAGCAAAAAAAAGGACACCAGCATTCTGAAAGTACCGTCTATATAAGTGCATTTATCATTTAGCAATTGTTAAAATACTTTTTACCAAATTAAATGACCTTTTGCCACATTGGTGTCTTACACACTATGTCATTAATTTAGCACTTCAGTGAGACCCTAATGGTAAAGGTTGTACAATATTATATGATTAGTCTTTCTTAAAAAAGTATTGACTATCAGATGATCTGTGTTTTTTCTACAATTACAGATATACCCTAATATCTGATTGGAACACAATGTTGCATATCATTCCTTGCCAATATTTGAATCTGCTTCATTTGATCATGCCTTTGTAGACAACATAATCAAATAGGGAAGAATGAAAAATACACTAAGAAGTGCAAAAGGAAAAACCTTTTAAATAGTGCCTTGCCTTGTATGTTTACTTCCACTTTGCACTCCCAATATCTCCATAATCATACTCTATACACAAACCTAGGGCCTCTGGTATTGCAACCAATATCTGCCTAATGGAGGAAACAATCCTACTCTTAACAGTGTTCAAGACTACAGCATGATACATTGTATACATATAGGTGAAAGGAAAAAGTCAAGACATCAGAAGAATTCAAAAACAGAGAAAGAATGTTTCATTGATCAATTCTGGAAACGGACTCCAGCAACTACTGATCTCAACAAATTAGTTAAACAACAGTGAGTTCTGTTTCCCTAGAACTAACTGATGTGATGAAGTCGAGAGCAAAAACAAGTTCTCTGTATTATGCACTGACTTTTGTAGAATAATTGAGTGCAGCAAGTATTTTCTCAATTAGTGGCCTTTAAAATGAGCGTCACTATGTTTTAGGAGTGCACACAAATGCACCCACTTTTGTTAGATTCTCTGAACACTAAAATGAAATTAGCTAGATCCATGAATCAAAAGACAGTCAATCTCTTATTCAAGCCCTAAAAATGCATTTGATGTTCAAATAACAACTTTAATTACAAATCCTGGAGCTAAATCTTTGCCTATTACCTGTTGCATAAAAGCAGCCTGCTCCCCAGATTCCATTTGCTGGGTTTGATTATCGTCATCAGTGTCCAGTGGCTCCTCTTTCACTTTCACAGCCCCCACGTGCTGTCCTATTCTGTCATCCACACAAACGCTGCAGCTGTCATCCCTAATGCTGTTACCACTAGAGGGAGCTCTTTCTTCCTGCATAGCATGATCTCCATGAAGCTCTTCTTCAGCTTCTTCGAGATGATTGCCAGGCTGCTTTAGCTGTTCAATGGATTTAGAGAGCAGCTGAAAGAGAGAGAGAGAAATTTAAAGTTACTGCCAATATTTCTCCACAGATGCCACATGCTAAGGATTACTATATTTGTATTGACAAGTGAGTCAAAACTTTCCTGGCAAAACTAGTTAAGATGCAACTTTGCAGCAGAAGTTTATCTGAATGAAGAATGTAAGCTCCTCACTAACAGGATCCTATCGTCTTTCAATTTAGAAGATGCTATGTACAAATATAGCATTTTATAGTAATATTAAATGTAATAATAATAACAATATAGCAACATAGTTAACAGACGTGTTTATAAATACTTCCATATAGACATTTTAAAAAATGATGTTCTTCTTAAAATACCTTAGCAGTCAAACATAAATACGTTTTAATTCAAATATTTGACCTGCAGTTCAGTACATTTTACATAATATAGTTTGCATTGAACTTCTAACAAGCTTAACAGAATTAACAATACACAAAAATATAAAAAGGGGAGAATTGAGTCATTAAAAGCTCATTTTCCATGTATAGCTTGCAAATACTGGAAGGCTGAAAAACAGGGTTTCTGTGATATTCAAAATTTCAGCAGCTGAAAGGTTAATATATTTTCCCTATCTAACTAATTTAGTCTGCACCTGTGGAACTAAATTTTGTGGTAAACATTTCCCCATTTATCTTCTGCAAAGCACAGAAACTTCTGCTTTTGTTAGATTCTGTGCTTTGCTGGGTTTCCCTCTTTCCTGTCATTGATGGAGCTATGCCAATTTACACCAGGGAAGGCTCTAGGGCCTTTATTTTAAGGGGCAGTTAGCTTTTAGCAGATCTTTTTGTTAAAATATTATCAGTATTGAAACATGTTTACTGATGATAGAAAGAAAAGAGATCATGATTTACTTTAACTCAAATAAGTAGCCCTAATAATGAAAAGAAAATTTTATGTAGTGGCAAAATTAATTTGCAAAATGTGATACATGCTAAATCTTGTGTGAATCCTGGTAGAGAACCCCAAAGTGAAGAATCTATTAGAAGGGAAGAGGAGGTGGTGCAAGAAGGTGTCTACCAGGACACAGAGAATCAATGAATTTCAAACAGTGAATAGCACTGGCCAAGATATGCACTTTGTCCCAGATCCACAAAGGTATTTAGGCACCCAAACCCCAGACTTATCTAACTGTCTAACTCCCAGTTTTAGGAACCCTTGTGATCCTCAAAAGGCTGCCTAACCCTAAGTGTTCACTGCAAGAGTTCCCTTGGTGTCTCTGTTTCCGCTTCTGAGTATGGACACTGCTACCCCCCCTCTAGGCATCTGCCTATCTCCTGCCTGAGCATCGGTATGATCCATGAAGTGGGGGGAAGATAGGTGCTCCGCCCCCTATTGGGCCCAATCCAGTAGGAGTGCTCAGAGACTGCCTACTGGAAAAGGTGTGTGTGTGTGTGTGGGGGGATTCCATAACTTTCAATCCAATGGTTACAGCACTCACCTGGAATGTGGGAGGCCCAGGTTTATTTAGTTCCTTCCTCTGCCTGCTGGGGAATATAATTTGAATAGGGCTCTCCCACTTCTCAGGTGAATACTCCAACCACTAAGCTATGGAATATTCTGATGTGGGGGCTCCCTCCGTTTCTCCTATTGAAGCTGTTTCACTGTGTATAAATAAGGGGTCACTGGACCTCCGGTCTCCCCATTTCCAGGCTACAGAGTCTCTCTCTGTCCCAATCACTCTAATTAATTATCTACCGTGGAACAACTTCAACAGGAGAGATTGAAGGGGCCCCCACCATCAGACTATCTCATAGTTCAGTGCTTAGGGCACTCACTTGAGCAGGGAGACTCCTGTTCAAACTCTTTCTCTCCCTCTTGTAGGAGGATGAAAATAGAACCTGGGTCTCCCACAGGCGAGTGATCTAACCACTGGGCTAAAATTGTTAAGGTGGACACTGGAACCACCAGCCCCACCACCTCCTCCAGCCATTTTGTGTTGTGCAAAACTGGCCCCTAGCTCTTTCTCACAAGAAATAACTTAAGCGCCTAAGCCACCTGTCTCCAAAAGGGGGTAGTTCCTGGCTGTGGATCACAAGCAGAGATAGGTGCCTCCCAGCAGTTCAGACTTAGGTATCTATCTCCATGAGAGGGTCCCATTGGCTAGCTTAGGCAGCTCCTTGCTTAGCATGCTGGCTTTTGTGGAGAGCATTCTTAGGCACCTATCTCTCCCCATTCATTGTATAGGGAGCCTAAGCACTTAACTCAAGCTTTGTGAATTGCTTTGTTGTTCCTGCAGTTTTCTAGGTTCCGGAAAGTTAGCCCTTGCAATGCTCACCATCACAATGCCTAAGTCTCTTTGTGGATCCGGGCCTTCCTGTCTGTGCAGCTCACATGGAACTCCCTGTTGAAATTATAGCGAATCCTCTCAGCAGCAACCACAGAGCACAGGCATTAGTGAAAACATCGTCAGCCATCTGCTTGCTTAAATATCTGCTGCAATATAAGAGGACTTTCTGATGCAGGAAGGTGTGTTTTGCACTTCCTTGTGTGAGTTTCTGGAATGTGGTCCAGTAACTGCACCTTTAACTTGCTGGAAAAGATGCAACTGGGCCTGAACCTGCAAATGCCTAATCACAGGACTAGTCATTATTCATGTGAGCATACTGATTTGAAGTGAATAAGAGTTTACAGGATCAAGCCCAAGATTTATCATAGAGAAGTCTTCTGTGGTAGCAGAGTCGTGTCTTTGAGGACAAAATGTAAAATATTTTCAGATCTGCACTGGCTTGAATAGAGGTTGGCAGAAAATTTTCAGTGAAGAGTCCCTCTACTCTGGAACTTATTCTCCTTTTGGTGCAGCAGAGCCCAGATGTGATATTTATTTTCCAAGGGTTTGTTTTTTTGCCTCATAGGGAAGGCTTAATGGGGTATGAGTGGATTGGGAAGAGGGGATTTATGGTAGTTTGAGATATTTATCCAATAGCATTTTGTATGATGTTTAAAAAATTAACAAATAATGTGCAGGTGCCTAAAATTTGGGATTAATGGTTTTTTTATAAATGCAAAACATCCCTTTTAGGCTATGGTCCACCTCCAGAATCATGGGCCGGTGTGAAAGAGAAAGATTTATGATGGTCACTGATTGAGGCAAGGGCAGAATTAACACCCCACTTTCACCCATGTAGACATAGGATTTATGAGCAAAGTGCTGGAGGCCATAAAATCATCTTCTATTCTATTACTAGATCCCACATGCAGATCATCTACAACACATCAGTCAGATTGTTTTCCATAAACATTAGGAAGCACCGATGCGATGTAATTGAAACAAAGAGCTACATCTCCTAGGCACTAATCATTAACACTAACCAGAGCCTGCAACAGCAAAATAATAATTAAAAGAAGTTACTTTACCATTGTTGATCCTGAACAAGTTGTGTGTGTTACAGGGATAATTGGGGTTCTGGTCATTCCCCCATAGTAGGACAAGATTACCCAGGCCATTGAAGGTGCTGAGCCTAAAAGCAGATGCGTGTACCCACTTGTGCAGCTGCATTTGCAAGCTCAGCGCTTACGTCGAATAGTACAGCTATTTAAAAAAATATGTCCATGATGAAAGTCTTCAGGCAAGAGAGAGAACCCTTTCGGACACTGGTACTGAGGGCCACAGCAGCCCACTTAAAAAATCTCTCTGTTATTCTAGTATTCATCTGTCACTTCAAATGCATCTTCAGTGCTGCAGGTGGCATCGTTATAAGCAGAGGAATCCCTGCTAGCGCAACTAACGCTAACTGACTCCTTATAAAGAAGAATCTGGAAAATTTCTCAGATCATACCAGTAAATGTCTTCCAGTTCTTTCTCAGGGGCTGATGCTGCCCAAGAAGGCAGTGGAGCTAACTACATGTATGCAGAATAGTAGACTATTATCTGTCTTTTTGTTAAACATCTGTTGGTGATCCTGCAGCAAAATAAAATTAAAGAGTCTGGCTGCTGGCTGGCTAGCAAGCAAACACAAGCTAAAACATCTGTGTGACAGATAATCATATACAGCTAGCATGAGTCACTGACGCTGATCCATCTGTAAAACATTCCATATGCCAGTTGTCTGACATCAGGTGGGTTACTCGGTAGGAAAATCCAAGAGAGACTGAGAGCTAGTCCACAGCACAGTTAGGGAGCATATTTCATTTCCTTACTGCTCTCCTTTCTTCTGTGCTTTCTCACTTTTATGTGGGCTTGCTCGCCTTTCATGCTACTGTATGGCACTGTTCCTGAAAGCTGATGAGGCTACTGATGCAACCCCATTGTGTCATTTGGGGAAATTCACCTAAGTATGGCACGTGCTCAAATGCATTTTTGGATGACCTAATGAGTAGAGTGATGCAAGCACCTATAGGAGGGGTATTTTATTCTTAGACTACATTTAGTGGTGGCATGCATTTAAATCTGCAATATTGCTGTGTTAGGGCCTGATCCTGAATTACTGAAATCATTGGATATTTGCTAAAGACTTCACTGAGATCAAGGCCTTTGTAAGTAATAAATGTGTGCCTTGTTTCATAGATCTCAAAGTGCTTAACCAGGTGGGTATACATTGTCCCTATTTCTGGAGAAATAAAAACAAGGCAATAACTTTCCCAAGACCACATGGCAGATTAGAAGATGGAACCTTGAGTTTCCTTGAGTCCCAGCCATGTTCAGTCCACGAGTCTACAGCTACTTCCCCTCCCTCCTTGAACTTTCATTTTGTTTATGTGGTTTAAAAGAGAGCTTGGCACTATCATATTATATTGCCAAATATACCTGATACCACATGGCTCTTCTAGTCACATATATTCATCATTAATGATCTGGATGATGGGATGGATTGCACCCTCAGCAAGTTCGCGGATGACACTAAGCTGGGAGGAGAGGTAGATATGCTGGAGGGTAGGGCTAGGGTCCAGAGTGACTTAGACAAATTGAAGATTGGGCCAAAAGAAATCTGATGAGGTTCAACAAGGACAAGTGCAGAGTCCTGCACTTAGGATGAAAGA